GCAGATAGATTGGCACAGGGACAGCAACAAAGGGCTCAAACATAGCAATGATTGAGGTTGGCGTAGGACCTGGCAGTATTGCATTTTGTTGTGCACAGGGTCACTATGAGTTGGTACCGACTTCATGGCACTTAACAACGACAGCACACAGATTTGGAAAATTTAAAGAGTTCTACTATTTCCATTTCTAAACACCAGGCTACAATTGTTGTTACATGCTATCAAGTTGGTACCTACTCATAGTGACCTTATGTACAACAAACCAAAACACTGCCCGGTCCTGCACCAACCTTACAATCATTGCTGCACTTGAGCCCATTGTTGCTGCCACAGGTGCCAATCCAGATCATTGGTAGTCTTCCTCTTTTTTGCTGTCCCTCCATTTTATGAAGCATGATGTCTTCCTCCAGGGACTGATCCCTTCTGACAATATGTCTGAAGTATGAGCTATCCTGGTGTCTAAGGGACATTCTGGCTGTACTTATTCCAACATAGATTTGTTGTTCATGTTACTTTTTTTTTTTAACTTTTTATTGTGAATTAAGTAAAGATTTACAAGCAGATCACCAGTTTTACATTCAACAAATAATACACACACAGTTTCAGCTCACTGATTGCAATCCCCTCAGTGTAATATCACTTATTCTACCTACTCCCTGTGTTTCTTGTTTCTATTCCTCCTCCTTTCCCAACCCTTCTAAATTTTGTCTTTGAATAAATGCTGCACTTTGAATCTCAAATGGTTTACCATTCTGGAGTACCTCACTAGTGTTGTTGTTTCACCTATAGACCTACCTATTGGTTGGCTAGAAACTGAGTCAGTTCATGTTACTTTTAATATTCTCTATCAACACCATAACTCAAATGCATCAATTATTCTATGGTCTTCTTTATTCATTGTTCAACTTTCACATGCATTTGAGGTTATTGAAAATACCACAGCTTGAGTCCGGCTCAAACTAACATCCTTGCTCTTGAACACTTTAATGAGATCTTCTTGTACAGAAGATTTCTAATGCATTACATTGCTTGATTTCTTGACTGCTGCTTCCATGAGTGCTGACAGTTTATATGAGCAAAATGAAATATTTGACAACTCCAATCTTTTCTCCATTTATCTTGATGTCATTTATTGGTCCAGTTGTGAGCATTTTTGTTTACTTTACATTGAAGTGCTTGCTACTCATACAAAAGGCTGTGATCTTTGATCTTCATCAGTACTTTAAGTCCTTTTCACTTCAGCAAGTAAGATTGTGTTATCTGCACATTGTTATTAGTGAGTCTTCTTCCAATCCTGATACCATGCTCTTTCTTCTTCATATAATGCAGTTTCTTGAATTATTTGCTCAGAATACAGATTGAATGAGTATGGTGAGAGTATACAACCCTGTTACATACCTTTCCTAGCTTTAAACTATTCAATGTTCCCTTGTTTTGTTTGAACAACTGCCTCTTGATCTATATACAGGTTTCCTATGAACACATTTAAATGTTCTGGAATATTCATTGTCTGCAATGTTGTCATAGCTTGTCATAATCCACACAATTGAATACATTTCAACAGGTGACTATCTTTTTGGTATTTTCTGCTTTCAGCCAAGATCCATCTGATGTCTGAAATGGAATCCCTCATTCCATGTCCTCTTCTGAATCTGGCCTGAATCTCCCTATCAATGTACTGTGGCAGCCAGTATTGAATTGTCTTTAGCAAAATTTTAGTTGCACATGGTATTAATGATATTGCCCTACGATTTTCACATTCCCTTGGGTCACTTCTTTTCGGAATCTGTGCAAATAGATTCCAGTTACTTGGCCAGGTAGCTGTCTCCCAAATTTCTTGGCATTTCACAGAAAATGACAAATATTTTACAAGTGTGCACCACCCCAATTGAAAGATAACTGACAGCAGATGTTTGAGGTGTGCACATTCTTAATATTTGAAACAAAAAATAGAGTCACTTTTGAAGTCATCAATCTTTCACAAAATATGGGAACAAAATAAAAAATAATTTGAACTACTGACACAAATCCCCAAATGTATGCTGAAATCATCACTCAAATTCAAAAGGATTATTGTGACTTTATGGTGTCTGCCCAAGGTGTTCAAAATTTACTATTTCTTCTTGAAACAGTAATAGTTATATCACATTGCCAATAAATTGAAAACATGCTTCAGAAACTGGTTCCAAAGCAATGTGTTTGTTAATAAAGACCTGTATTTGTATGACTCATGCACAAGTCACAAATGCTTGACCCATGCACAAGCCACCAATCACCACAACAAAGTTAATTGAATTGGGCTATGAAATTTGCTACCATATTTACTAGATCTATCTTCATCTGAATGGGGTTCTAAGAAAGAAATCATTCCTTAATGAAGAATTAGTCATTGGAAGACTTGTAATATTTAGTTTAAGAATGCTAAATTTCGTAAAAGTGAAATATATTATTTAATGTCCAACTGAGAAATCATTATTATGCTAATGATGATTTTTTTAAAAATCAAAGGATGTTTTTAAAAAGTGCTTTTATTTTGACTTTCAAAAATGTCTGTTTCATAAGGTATAATTCAATGCTTACCACATAAAGCCTAACATTTCTTGCCTAAAAATTATATCAGTAATTGTTAAATATTTAGTTCTAAATGAGACCCTAATCTAAAACTATTTATATTTTATTCCTCATCCCACTAAAAAATAAAGTCTCTTCCCCTTTATTTCCACTATATGTGAAATTAACTTGCTTGACTTTGATCCTACCCTTCTCTTCTCAACCCCAATTATACAACTGGGTCTCTCAACTTGTTACCTGACAGCAAACATCACCTCTCTTTGAGAAAATGGTTTTTGATTCCATAAATAGTGCCACTTATGGCTGAATCAAGAAGGCCTGGTTAAAGTGATCAGTTACAAATCTAATGGTTGGCAGTTTATATGTGTTTGGTTGTTTTTTTTTTTTAACTTTTTATTGTGAATTGAGTGGATGTTTACAGACAAGGTTATCAGTTTTACATTCAACAAATCATATACTTTGTTTCATCTCAGTGATTGACATCCCTTCCAAGCAACAAGTTATCTATTATTCCTCTCTTCCCCCCACCCCCCACCCCCCGCAGTGATTCCTTTTTCCATTCCACCCACCTTCCTATCCCTTCTCAACTTTGTCCATAGGAAAACATTGCTCTTTTGATTTTGAATGATTGACTATTTCATGGTGTGCATACCTTACTAGTATTGTTCTGCCAATTAGGGCGAGTTCTTTTTAGAGCTGAAGGGTGGTAGAGGGACCAAGTTTCAAGTTCTTTCAGTTGCTTTCTGACCTTACTGGTCTTTTTAAAAAAATAACTTTGGGTTTTGTTCCACATTTTCTCCCACTCTATCCTGGACCTTCTAATGTGGTCCCTTTCACAGCTATTGGTGGTGATAGCCAGACACCAAGTAGTTCTTCTGGCCTCAGCGTTGTGGAGACTAATGCTTACACACTCCATTAGTTCATTGAACCAATCAATTCCAAGCCTTTTCAATTCTCTTTATTCTTTTTCTGCAAATGGAGAAACCAATAGCTGCACCTCAGATGGCCACTCATGAGTTTTTAAGATCTTAGACAGTACTCACCAAAGTAGGATGTATAACTTTGTCTTTGTGGACTGTGTTATGCCAACTCACTACGATGTACCCTGAGACTATGGTCTTGAGTCCCCAGGCTCAGCAACTCATTGCCTTAAGATGTTTGATAATATCTAATAAGTTTCCAAGGAGATCTGGGAGCGAAGTAGTTACGATTTGGGTTGCTAACCTCAAGATCAGCAGTTTGAAACAACAGCCTTTTGTTCTTGGGAAAAAGATGAAACTTTCTGCTCCTGTAAAGAACTGATATCATGGCATTTAACCAACTAGGAAAGTTTTCCTGCTGTATGCTCCACCACATTCATAGTTGTATTTGCAGGGAAGGAAAAACCCACATACAAACGTCTTTCAAATTCATGTGTTTATGGGACATATAGATATTCACTCTGCCTCCCTAACCATTTAGACAATGTCTCGGTCCATGTATCTATGCACAGACCCTGTTGTTTCAAGGTTGTGTGTGTATCACTATTTACCTCTATCCCCTTTAGCCCATGCATACCTCCCTGTGTCTTTATCTAACTTCATTTTTCTGCCACTCCTCCTCTTCTTATATATTGTCTTCTGCTAAAGGTTGGCACTTTGAACCCACTAAGCTGCTCCATGGAAGAAAAATGAGACAGCCTGCTTCTGTAAAGAGTTACAGTCTCAAAAACCTTATCAAGCTGTTCTACTCCTTAATTCTTGTGGCTCAACTCTCCTCAGTACTACTCTTCATAGTCTTTCTAGATCTCCGGATTTCAGGTTTCCTTTTTGCTGGGCACTGTGCGATACTTGGGGATACAGCAAAAACGAAGCCTTTGTTTATTTATTCCTCTAGTAATGAATCATTACGTGCCAACAATGTGCCATTCATCTTTCGAGGAGTAAGGGTTCAGCAGTGAGTGAAACAGTGTGCTCAGTAAAGACAGGAGATATACAAGCAAGGAATAAATGTACACATAAGTTTCAAAGTGGATATCTGTGCTACAGAGAAAAACGGTCGACAAGGTAGACTTCTCCGGACGAGTTGAGCAAACCAGACATCAGATCCTTCAACACACTTCTAAAAGATTGCTATGCCAGAAAAAAACTTGTTTCCGGAAGTCGTCCCAGGCAGGATTTGGCGCCCCAGTCCGACGCTTGGCTTTCTATTGGGCAGGACTGACGTCACTCAGAGGGTCGTTGCTTTTTTTCACTGTGACGTATTTGTTGGCGGATGGTTTGGGACGCCGCGGAGGCGGGCACGGAAGTGGGACGCTGGAGGGAGGGGTGGGGGAAGTTGTTTCAGAGGGCCCTCTTCCGGCTCATGTGAGGGCCCGGAAGTTGTGGCCCGGCGACAACCTGGAGACTGTGGGTGTGGGAGTGGGGCTGCGACTGTGACTGTGACTGTGACTGTGATCATGGGCGGGAAGAACAAACAGCGGACTAAGGGCAGTCTGAGGGTGAGTGCGGGGCGGCCCTGGCGACTGGGACGTTCTCGCCTCGCAGCCTCGAGCGCGGTGGGAACATGCGTGGAGCCCGGCTGCGGGGAAGCGTGTGTTTGCGTTTTTCGGGTGTGACCTCTGTGTGGTGTGCGTGCCCTGGCGGCATGTGTTGTTAATCGTTGAGCAGATTGGGAAGATGTTCCATGCTATCATCCCACTTTAGTGGTTACGAATCAGGCTGCTAATTTCGTGGTCAGTGGTTCGAAACTACCAGCTGTTGCATGGGAGAAAGAAGAGGCTTTCTGCTCCCATAAAGATTTACAGCCTTGGAAACCCTGTACAGGGTCGTATGAGTCGGAACCGACTCCACTGCACATGACAACAACAACATCATCCCACCTGAGCAATTTTCGTTAAGAAATAGATCAATGTCAGCTTCAACTAAAAGGTTACCTGGCCTTAGTGGTAAAGGTAGAAGATGTCGTCGCTAAGAAGGAGGGGCATTGAGTAGGAGGGAGTTAAAATGAGCTTGGTGTACAAGATAACTCAGATCATGCTACTACTTTACTCAAAATCTTATGGTTGCTACCAGAATTACTCGGGGTAAAGGCCAAAGTCATTTATGCAAGGTTATGGCCAGTTCCTCACCCCCTTTTCTCCATCTTCAGTTCCTCGATCCCTCCAGTCAACAACACTGGCCTCATTACCAATTCAAGACTGTCTGACACTCTCTGTACTCCCACCCGTTTTTGTTACAAAACTTCTACCTTTACAGTTGTGACAGTTGTAATTGTCATGATAACAATTATTCATTATTGAATCAAGAATCTTATCCCCATCTCTTTTCATCAGACCCATCTAGACAAGATGAAAATTATTCAGTAGGGACTCTTATCTCTCTCCACACAC